ACTCTCTACCAGAACTGATAAAGGATCCCCTGACTAATAAATTTAGAACAGCTAAAAAATCATCTCATCTCTCAATACTGACCAAATCAACCAAAACAACTTCTAATTAATTATATTATGTGACCTCTAAGCTATTAAACATCTGCCATTCAGTGAAATATTGCTGCTTGAACCATTAATTGTAATATTGTTTTTATTATGTGCAACTACTAGATTATTCTTATAAACCTTCACCTCGACTGCCTCACATTAGTATTAAGATTAGATAAGATTGTAATCCTCCATGGGGAAGTGGAACAGAATTCTTCCTCCGTAAGCCATGCGTGTTGTAAGAGGCGACTAAAATGCCGGGAGCAAGGGGCTAGTAACCTCTTCTCCTGTATATATTACTAAATGTAAAAGGAGAAACTTTCGTTTTTCCTTTTGGGCCACCCCGCCTCGGTGGGATACGGCCGGTGTGTTGAAAGAAAAGAAAGAAGATTGTAATCAAGTTAACCACTATTATCTTGTCTAGTTTTAAGTAATTACTGTGTACTAGGATTAATCTACCCAAAATGCCCTGGCATGATAGTGTCTTTCTTTGCACTTAGCAAACCAACAATGTAATTACACATTATAACCTTTACAAAGAAATAAATCTTTATCTTATCTTTATTTAGTAATTTATACAGAAGGGGTTACTAGCAACTTGCTCCCAGCATTTAGTAATGTACTATACATACAGAAGAAAGTGTTATTAGCACCTTGCTCCCAGCATTTAGTAATTTATACAGAAGGAGTTACTAGCACCTTGCTCCCAGCATTTAGTAATGTATACGTACAGAAAAAAGTGTTATTAGCACCTTGCTCCCAGCATTTAGTAATTTATACAGAAGGAGTTACTAGCACCTTGCTCCCAGCATTTAGTAATTTATACAGAAGGAGTTACTAGCACCTTGCTCCCAGCATTTAGTAATTTATACAGAAGGAGTTACTAGCACCTTGCTCCCAGCATTTAGTAATGTATACGTACAGAAAAAAGTGTTATTAGCACCTTGCTCCCAGCATTTAGTAATTTATACAGAAGGAGTTACTAGCACCTTGCTCCCAGCATTTAGTAATTTATACAGAAGGAGTTACTAGCACCTTGCTCCAGCATTTAGTAATGTATACGTACAGAAAAAAGTGTTATTAGCACCTTGCTCCCAGCATTTAGTAATTTATACAGAAGGAGTTACTAGCACCTTGCTCCCAGCATTTAGTAATTTATACAGAAGGAGTTACTAGCACCTTGCTCCAGCATTTAGTAATGTATACGTACAGAAAAAAGTGTTATTAGCACCTTGCTCCCAGCATTTAGTAATTTATACAGAAGGAGTTACTAGCACCTTGCTCCCAGCATTTAGTAATTTATACAGAAGGAGTTACTAGCACCTTGCTCCCAGCATTTAGTAATGTATACGTACAGAAAAAAGTGTTATTAGCACCTTGCTCCCAGCATTTAGTAATTTATACAGAAGGGGTTACTAGCACCTTGCTCCCAGCATTTAGTAATGTATACAGGAGAAGGGGCTTCTATCACCTTGCTTCTGGCATTTTAGGTGTCTCTTACGACACGCATACTTACGGAGGAAGGATTCTTCTACACTTCCTCATGGAATAAGAGCAGAAGTATTTACACAATTCTTGTGTTTGAATCTCGCAACTGAAATTGAATTAGGTACCTGGGTATTTGTGATTAAAGAAAAGTTTTATTGCTGTTAGTACAACTGGACAATGATGGAAGGAAGGTGGTGAGCAGATGTTGCCATACATCAAGGTACAATGATGAGAGTTATCAAGGATTCTTGATTGCATTAAATAACGGTTTGCCTTATTATATGAGTGAAGTTGTTAATTAACTCTTTTACTTTTAATACCGTTCCATTGCTTATTATTTGGTTGGGTTTTATATTAGAAATTTGTACAGTTGTATTGTTCTCCCTACAAGGGAGAAATGTCTTGAAGTTGGTGAAGGGCTTTGAATCCAAAGAATTAGAGCTACCGTTTCCTTCAGATCAAAGCTGATTACCCCGACCCCTCCCATTCCCTAGGTGTTGTATAACCCTCATGGGTTAGCATTTACACACCTTTATAACAATACCACTGTAGATAAATGATTCAGAGAACCATCAAGTTGATAAATTAGACACACAGGCAACACTTTTGTCTAATTTATCAATAATACAGTAAGGCCCTGCTTTACGGCGTTTTGCCTTACGGCGTTCTGCTAATACGGCGATGTCAAATTATGACCAAAATTTGCTATACGGCAAGCAATCTTTTAAATAAGGCGCCCCCCACCCGGTTTGTTTACATTTTCCGTGACCACATCTATTATGTCAGGAAACTTTCCAAAATTTCAAGTGTTTTAAAGTTACTGCATATTTTATATGTACTTTGATAATTATACTTATGTGTACCTGTACCTAAATATACTTACACACTGTGCTGGTGTGCAGGTACACATTAAAATTGCCAAGTCTCTCTCTACCCATGACGCCAATACTACGTAATAATAATCACTCTTGGGCACACTAAATGTCTTATTTTACATCAATATAGGCATTTTCATTAATCCATCTATGATATTTTCCTCAGAATTATATATGAAACCCATTACATAGCATATAAACATGATACATACACTCACAGAATAAAAATTGATGTAAATATGAGATTTGTTTACAAAGCAGCTGTGTAGGTAGTGTCGGAAGAATTACGTTTTCTCTAGTCAAACACTGGGGGGTAACTGTAGGAAAATATTCTTTTTGTATGCCTTTACTCTATGTATAGCAATTCACAACCCTTGTGGGTTTAGTGCTTTTTGTATAATAAATAATAATAATAATAATTATTATTGTTATTATTATTAATAATAATAATATTTTTTTTTTTTTTTTTTTTTTTTTTTTTTTTTTTTTTTTTTTTTTTTTTTTTTTTTCAACAAGTCGGCCGTCTCCCACCGAGGCAGGGTGACCCAAAAAAAAGAAAGAAAATCCCCAAAAAGAAAATACTTTCATCATCATTCAACACTTTCACCACACTCACACATTATCACTGCTTTTGCAGAGGTGCTCAGAATACAACAGTTTAGAAGCATATATGTATAGAGATACACAACATATCCCTCCAAACTATTAATAATATTAATACTAATAATATTATTATTATTATTATTATTATTATTATTATCTTCATTCACTCTAAAAATGGTGTGCTGCTGTTTGTTTATTCTGAACTAACTTGTACAACTTGTACACAATGTAAGAATATTTGTATTGTGAGGTAATTATTATTAAAATAAAAAAATATTGAGGTAAATGTTTTACAAGCTCTTACAAATGGACGTGAATGAACTAAAAGTAGATACATATTAATACGCATTTATTTCGCCTGACCAAGTGATCGTCCACTACCTGTTCAGTTTGTGTTCTTATATTGTCTCAATTCTGTATCTCGTTCTCTCTCTCGTTTACTCTTTCGTTAACTAGTTGGCTCTCATTGACGATGGTGTCTAAGGTTAGCTGTAATTAAAAGAGAAGTCGTAAGCCTCTTGTTTTAAGTGCCAAGTTAGAGGATGATGGTGTGCCATTCTGATTTTATTCAATAAACACCCTGCCACTCACCTCTCACACTTTAATATTAATATTTTAAGGTAAGTAATAAGTGTACTCTGTGTGTATCTTACCTTTTATTGTGTTTTTAATGCCTATTTCTATTGCTAACTTAATATAAGTTAGTGTAAACTTGTTGTCTGGCATTTATTGCATATTTTATATGCTCTGATAATAATACTTGTGGAGCCGGGTGGAGGGTCAACATTACGTTTTCTCTGTTCAGCCATCAGAGAAAACGTGTATGAATCTGCGTTTGGCCCAGCCACTCCCCCACTCTGGTTTTGTTTACAATATTTGGCATGAATTATTCATTACTTCTACCTTCGTTTATGATGGCATCTAAAGGTAGTTGTTAGAAATTATTAAATTCAGTGAACAAGGCATGTCGATGTTAATAATATGGCTCTGGGCCACAGTGTAGGTAGCCGGTAGGTGTAGCCCAGGCAGGCTACACCTACCAGCTACCTACACTGACTTTATACAAATAAATACTACTCGCCTCTCTTCCTATATTAAGACTACACGCTTCCAGCAGGCGTGCGTGAGCGTGTTAGATAGGAGTGAATGGAGACGAATGGTACTTGGGACCTGACGATCTGTTGGAGTGTGAGCAGGGTAATATTTAGTGAAGGGATTTAGGGAAACCGGTTATTTTCATATAGTCGGACTTGAGTCCTGGAAATGGGAAGTACAATGCCTGCACTTTAAAAGAGGGGTTTGGGATATTGGCAGTTTGGAGGGATATGTTGTGTATCTTTATATGTGTATGCTTCTAAACTGTTGTATTCTGAGCACCTCTGCAAAAACAGTGATAATGTGCGAGTGTGGTGAAAGTGTTGAATGATGAAAGTATTTTCTTTCTTTTTTTGGGTCACCCTGCCTCGGTGGGAGACGGCCGACTTGTTGAAAAAAAAAAAAATATTTTAAGGTAAATAATGAGTGTACTGTATGTGCATTTTACCTCTCTGGGATGTTTTAAATATCGTATATTAAGTATGAGACGGGGAGCCAGTGCTACCTACACCTGGGCTACCTGCACCTGACTTCCTACAAATAAGTACTACTCACCTCTCTCCCTATATTAAGATTACAAATACTTTAAGATAAGTAATGAATTTACTGTGACTGTATTTTACTTTGTGTGTTTTTAATGCCTAGTTCTATTACTAACTTAATATAATTTAGTGTAAACTTGTTGTCTGGCATTTATATGCATTTATAAATGGAAAAAAAATGGAGTACTGCCTTCCGGCGATGTCTGCTTTCCGGCGACAGCCTGGAACCTAACCCGCCGTTTAAGTGGGGCCCTACTGTACCACTATACCAGCATGATTAATTTTGCTTCCTTTTCCTATTTACAAGGTATGACAAGATGCCCAGTAACCTGTTGAGCATTGTTCCTGAAACACCAATCAGCTCATCCAGTAAGTCTGTGTACTTAAAGGTGGGTACAACAAAGTCGGCCACTCATAACATGGCCCTCCTCTCTCGTTACCTGCATCATCGACGGTGGATCTGGGCAGTGCAGGCTCCTAGTGCTCCAGCTGTCTCTCTCAATTCTGTTGCAAGAATTCTCAACACTCTATCAAGGTAAATTTCATGGATTATTTTTGAAGTAAGTCTAAGAAACATTAACATGTAATTAGTGTACCGATCGCAAAAATTTTAATGAAGGAAAGCAGTGAGGTACAGTTGACTCTCATTAGCTCTGATCTCATTTAGAATTATGACCAATGGAGAAAGACACATGAACAAACACTAGGACATATTAGAAAATGTTTTGGTCCTGGGACCTTGATCAATCCCAGGACTGAATAATAATTGTCTTATTACCAAGGTTAATACCGAATTAATTATTTTTATTTAGCTGGCTGCTTGTTTGTTTTCTCTTTTCTTGTTCAGTCAGACCTTGATTAGTGAAGATCTGCATTACGAAATTTTGATTCCATGAACTTTTATAATTGATAACTGATTGTGTAACTGAAATTTTGTAATGCAAATTCGCACTAAATTTTGTTGTGTAGCTAAGAGTTATATGCACTGCATGTTGGATTTTGATAAAAGGTTGATCACTGCTCTTTACTTTTACAGAATAAGACTCCAAGAAGGCTTCAGCTATGCATATTCTTGTAATGGAATTGTAACAATGGTCCGAGAGTTTGACATGAAGGTGATAAATTAACTCTTTTAAATTTTTACTTTAATTTGGTAATGTGTATGAAAACCAATCTGCTAAATAAACCTGAATTTTATAAGTGTCTAAGTTACAGTGTTAGAAAGAGCAGTGTTGCTTAATTATGATATTTGTGACTTGATTCAGTTGGAGCTGAGTGAAAGTGAAGGTGAACGTCTGCTGGAATCATGCTCTCAAGGAGGACTGGCTACCTTTCCCTGTGTTGCTCAGTATGTGATCTTCCCACCGCATATATCAAACTGCAGTAGAGATAGGTAAGCTGGCAAAGTGTTAACACATTACCTGTTTCCTACTAAAATAGGGTGACCTAAGGAAGGAAGTAGTCACTGTCAGTCATTAAACAGTTGTCTTTAATTGTTGAAATAAGACATGGTCACAAGCTTGGTCACAGACTGGGCCGTGGGGGTGTTGACCCCTGAAGCCCTCTCCAGGTATACTCCAGGTATGGACCCAAGAATTTACAACAGTGAGAGTTGCTTACAAAAGCTTTCTCAAATATACATGGATTAGGTAGTAGGTTGGTAGACAGCAACTGCCCAGGGAGGCACTACGCTCCTGCCAAGTGAGTGTGAAACAGAAACCTGTAACTGTTCTACATGATGGTAGGATTGCTGGTGTTCTTTTTTCTGTCTCATAAGCACGCTTTGTCAAGGTTGTTCCACTTCTGACCATTCTGAGACTGAAGAAATACTTCCTGATATCCTTGTGGCTCATCTACATCTTTACCTTCCAGCTGTGACAAGAGTACATGTTTTCCCCGCTTTTCCAACAGCCTATCCCTATCAATTCCTCTGAATATTTTGTATGTTATCATGTCTCTCCTGGTTCTTCTTTCCTGCAGTGTTATTAGTTGTAGGATTCACATGCCAAGGGTTCAAACCCCCACCTGTTCCATGGTTCATTATATTAAGTTCTGTTAGTCCTTTCTTATAGCTTATACCCCTTATTTCTGGAACTAGTTTCACTGCCTACCTCTGCACATACTCCAGTTTTTTAACATGCTTTTTCAAGTATGGGTTTTATGCTGGTGCTGCATACTCTCAAGATGGACCTGACATATGTTTTATAAAGGCTCTAGAATGACTCTATTGAGATTCTTTAAGGTCACTCTTAGATTTATTAGGCAAGCATTGGCTGCAGAGGTTTTTCTGTTGATATGATCCTTTGGCAATATGGTAGGCACTGTGCCCACCCATATGTCTCTCTCCTAGGGTGAAGTCAGCAACCTCTGTCTCATATGTCTGGTCTTCTTGCCCTTTCTCCAGTCTTCATAACCTTGCATTTGCTGGGATTGAATTCAAGCAACCACTTATCTGATTAGTCTTGCTGATTGTCCAGATCCATATGGAACCTTTTTTTTCGTCTGTTTTTGTTCTCTTCATTAGTTTTACATCATCAAACAGATATGCATGTGCCTCACTCCCCATTTGGAATTTTGTAGGTCATGGTGTGGGTCATGTGTGGTGTGGGCCATGTGTGGTGTGGGTCGTGTGTGGTGTGGGTCGTTTGTGGTGCAGTTCGTGTGTGGTGCGGGTCATATGTGATGTGACTTAAGAAATCGTAATGACACGATTGCAAATAAACCATACCCCCGGCCGGGATTGAACCCGCGGTCATAGAGTCTCAAAACTCCAGCCCGTCGCGCTAACCACTAGACGGGCTGGAGTTTTGAGACTCTATGACCGCGGGTTCAATCCCGGCCGGGGGTATGGTTCATATGTGATGTGGGTCGTGTGTGGTGTGTTTCGTGTGTGGTGTGGGTCGTGTGTGGTGTGGGTCGTGTGTGGTGTGGGTCCTGTCTGGTGTGGTTCCTATCTGGTGTGGTTCCTGTGTGGTGTGGTTCCTGTGTGGTGTGGTTTCTGTGTGGTGTGAGTTATATGTTGGTTCAGTGGTTATATAATATGAGAGGTGTCATAGTGAGAGCTTCTGAGAAGGGTGTCAACTCTCTGTGATGGGAATGTGGGATGTTGCAAATGTATGGAATAGGTGGCAGGTTACTGAAAGCAGTGAAGTTTTTATTAGGATAGTGAAATTAAGGAGATTATTTCCCAGTAAAAGTAGGCCTTAGACAGGGATGCATGATGTCACCATGGTTGTTCAGTATATTTATAGATGGGGTTGTAAGAGAAGTGAATGCTCGGGTGTTGGCAAGAAGTGTGGGATTAAAAGATAAAGAATCTAACACAGTTGCTTTTTGCTGATGACACTGAGCTTTTGGGAGATTCTGAAGAGAAGTTGCAGAGGTTGGTGGATGAGTTTGGTGGGGTATGTAAAAGAAGGAAATTAAAAGTGAACATAGGAAAGATTAAAGTGATGAGGATAAAAAAGTTAGGTAATGAAAGATTGGATGTGAGATCGGAGAGAGTATGGAGGAAGTGAACGTATTTAGAGATTTGGGAGTGGACTGGTCAGTGGATGAATCTGTGAAAGGTGAGGTGAATCATAGAATTGATGAGGGGGGGGAAGGTGAATGATGCACTTAGGAGTCTGTGGAAACAAAGAACATTATCCATGGAAGCTTAGAGTATAATTATACCAATGCTCTTATGTGGGTGTAAAGCACGAGTGGTGAATGTTGCAGCAAGGAGAAGGCTGGAGGCAGTGGAGATATTGTGTCTGAGAGCAATGTGCAGTGTGAATATAATGGGGAAAACCTGTAGTTTGGAAATTAGAAGGAAGTGCGGGGGTTACTAAAAGTATTATCCAGAGGGCTGAGGAAGGGTTGTTGAGGTGGTTCGGACAGGAGTAGGGGTCGTCTTGGGAAAGGTTGGAGGAAGGGGGTAAAGGAGGTTTTACGTGCAAGGGGGTTGGACTTCAAGCAAGTGTGTGTGAGTGTGTTAGATAGGAGCAAGTGGAGGCGAATGGTTTTTATGACTTGATATGCTGTTGGAGTGTGAGCAGAGTAACATTTATGAAGGTATTCAGGGAAACCAGCAAGTCAGACTTGAGTCCTGGAGGTGGGGAATACAGTGCCTGCACTCTGAAGGAGGCATGTTGATGTGTTGTAGTTTTTTAACTGTAGTGTAGGCACTCCACTGGCAAGATAGTGATGAGGTGAATGATGTTGATAAAAGTGTTTTTTCTCTTTTAGGTCACTCTGCCTTGATGGGACATGGTCAGTGTTAATAAAAAAAAAAATGAAAAATAATTGAAAAATATCAGCTTTTCTACACATTTTAAAGTACAGTTCATTATGGTCATGTAGCACAATATATATGATACTTTTTTAGACAAAAAAAATGACTTTAAAATGCTTGACCGAGTGTTACCAAAATTCTCGACCTGTATAAGATTGCAATACGCTCTCTTATAATACTCTTGTGCATAGTGTTATTTTTTGTAAATGTGACTGAGAAAGGGCATTCAAAATTAAATAGTGCTGACTATGAAGGGATTTCCATTCGCTATTCAATTATGTATGTACTTTTTCAGTTGCACTTAAAAAATTGAACTGTATAGAGGAGCTTCAGAAAAGAGTTTACTGCATGCATCTTTCTTTCTTTCAACACATCGGCCGTATCCCACCGAGGCGGGGTGGCCCAAAAGAAAAACGAAAGTTTCTCCTTTTTCATTTAGTACTATATACAGGAGAATGGGTTACTAGCCCCTTGCTCCCAGCATTTTAGTTGCCTCTTACAACATGCATGGCGTACGGAGGAAGAATTCTGTTCCACTTCCCCATGGAGATAAGAGGAAATAAACAACAACAAGAACTAGAAAGAAAATTGAAGACAACCCAGAGGGGTATGTATATATACGCTTGTACATGTATGTGTAGTGTGACCTAAGTGTAACTAGAAGTAGCAAGACATACCTGAAATCTTGCATGTTCATGAGACAGAAGAATGGACACCAGCAATCCTACCATCATGTAAAACAATTACAGGCTTTTGTTTTACACTCACTTGGCAGGATGGTAGTACCTCCCTGGGCGGTTGCTGTCTACCAACGTACTACCTAGGTTTACTGCATGCATATTAATTTTAAATCATCTCTAATTGACCTTAATCTAAGATTGATAGTATTTGCAGTGTTAAATATATTGTGTGTAAACAGTGGTTTTTTATTGCTATTACAGTATTGTTGATGAGGACTGGGAGGAAGGGGACAGTGTGGAAGCTGATGGAGAGATACAGATAGTTACTGAGTGTTGGGTGGAACCACAGAATGGTGTTGTTACCTCTCCCTCACCTCAGGCGGTCCATCTCCATAACTGTAACTACCGGCAGCTGGCACAGGCGGTGAGTACCCTTGAAGCATTCACTAACTGGTAATGATATGGATTGTTACCATGTGTAGTTTTGTGGTCATAAGAGGTTCTTAAGTTGCAACTCTCCCAAGTTACATTCACTGCTGTGACTACTACTACTAGGACTACTGCTAGTACTAGGACTACTGCTAGTACTAGGACTACTGCTAGTACTAGGACTACTGCTGGTACTAGGACTACTGCTAGTACTAGGACTACTGCTAATACTAGGACTACTGCTAGTACTAGGACTGCTGCTGGTACTAGGACTACTGCTAGTACTAGGACTACTGCTAGTACTAGGACTACTGCTAGTACTAGGACTGCTGCTGGTACTAGGACTACTGCTAGTACTAGGACTACTGCTAGTACTAGGACTACTGTTAGTACTAGGACTGCTACTACTACTAGGACTACAGCTACTGGAACTGCTGCTACTACTAGGACTTGCCAGTACTAGGACTACTGCGACTACTACAACTACTGCTATGACTGCTGCTACTGCTACTAATACTCCTCTGGAATGATTGAAGGGAAGGAATACAAGAGGCTTTCAGGTTTAGGGGCTTTAACATCCAGCAGGCTTATGTGTACATGTTAGACAAGTGCATGACAACATGTAGTTGTTAATGGATGTGTTGTTGGAGTGTGAGCAAGGTAACTTATGAAGGGATTCAGGGAATGTGGTTAGTCAGACTCAAGTCCTGGAGGTGCAGAGTACAGTACCTGCACTCTGAAAGAGGGGTGAGGATATTGCAGAGAGTAATTTGATTGTGATGTCTGCATGCTTCAGGGAAGATGACGATTGAACGAATGTTGATGAATGTGTTTTCTTCTGTGGGCCGCCCTGCCTGGTGGGAGATGGCCATTGAGTTAACCCCTCAACTGTCCGAACGTAGATCTACGTTTGTACTGCTAGCACTCCGAATGTAGATCCATGCTTATTTTACATGCTTTCTTATGGAGAAAATCAAGGTTGGAGTGCTAGTGATGCAAACGTAGATCTACGTTTGGACAGTTTAAGGGTTAAAAACAATAATACTGTAATAATAATAATTAATACAATAATTTGAAAGTGTATAATATGCAGAGGATTATGGGCTATTAAAGCACTTGAAATTTTATAACAGGCAAAAGGGGCACAATTTTCATAAAAGAAGTAAATGTTAGGGTGTTGGGGAAAGGGGTGGGATTAAATAATGGGGAATCAAATACAAAATGGGAATTAACAGTTACTTTTTACTGATGATACTGTGCTCTTGAGGGATTCTAAAGAAAAGTTGCAAAGGTTAGTGGCTGAATTTGGGAGGGTGTTTCAAGGTAAAAAGTTGAAAGTGAACCTAGATAAGAGTAAGGTGATGAGGGTATCAAACAATTTAGATAAAGAAAAAAATGGATATCACATTGGAGGGAGGAGATTATGGAAGAAGTGAATGTTTTCAGATATTTGGTAGTTGACTTGTCAGCAGATGGGTTTATGGAGGATGAGGTTAACCATAGAATTGATGAAGGAAAAATGGTGAGTGGTGCGTTGAGGTATCTGTGGAGATAAAGAAGTTAATGTACAAGAGTATAGTGGTACCAATACTCTTATATGGGTGTGAAGCATGGGTTGTAAATGCTGCAGCGAAGAGGCGGCTGGAGGCAGTGGAGATGATGTGTCTAAGGGCAGTGTTATGGTGTTAATATTATGCAGAGAATTTGTAGTGTGGAAATTAGCAGGTGTGGAGTTACTAAAAGTATTAGTCAGAGGGCTGAAGAGGGGCTGTTGAGGTGGTCTGGTCATTTCAAGAGAATGGAACAAAGTGGAATGACTTGGAGAGCATATAAATCTGTAGGTGAAGGAAGGCTGGGTAGGGGTCGTCCCCAAAAAGTTGGAGGGAGGGGGTAAAGGAGGTTTTGTGGGCGAGGGGCTTGGACTTCTAGCAAGTGTACGTGAGCGTGTTAGATAGGAGTGAATGGAGGTGAATAGTTTTTGGGACCTGACAAGCTGTTGGAGTGTGAACAGGGTAATATTTTATGAAGGGATTCATGGAAACTGATTAGCTGGACTTGGGTCCTGGAAATGGGAAGTACAATGCCTGCACTTTAAAGGAGGGGTTTGGAATATTGGCAATTTGGAGGGACGTCTAAGCTGTTGTGTTTGAGCGCCTCTGTAAAGACAGTGATTATGTGTGAGTGATGGTAAAAGTGTTGAATGATGATGAAAGTTTTTTCTTTCTGGGTTTTTCTTTCCTTATGGGTCACCCTGCTTCGGTGGGAAATGGCTGACATGTTAAAAAAAAAAAAAAAAAAAAAAAAAAGGGGGGGCACAGGTGCAGCTAATGCAATATTTTATTGTGACAACGTTTCCACAATAAAATGTTGCATTAGTTGCACATGTGTCCTTTTACCTAACATTGTTGGCAGTTCTACCAACATTACAGTTTTCTAAGAGCTGAGCTGCAGCACAAACATGTGTGAAACATGACTTCTGTGTACTATTTATCTATACAGATAATGCATTTATGCTTTACATTGAAAACTAAGAATGCATCTTGTTTCTTTGTTGGGAATTTCTTGTACTCATAAATTTTTACAGTAAATAAATACAGGGGTTTACAATGAATAAATTGTTTACTGTGACTAAATATACAATTTACAGGTAAGTTCTGTGATTTACAGTTGTTTTAATCAAATGTCACAGGATTTTTATGCTGTTGTCATTGCCTATTTGAGTTTGTGGTGAGTAGGGCTGAGCTGTAGCTCTTGGTCCTATCTCAGCCTAGTAATGAGAAATAGCCCTCTTGTATACTGATTCCATTTCCACTGTGTTGTTATTCAGTGTTCTATTGCTTTACTTAATGTGTAGAAGAAAAGTTTTTAATATCCCAGTCATCTGCTTGAGTGTGTGGTTGCTAACCATACCAACCTGGTTTTTGATTCACAGCTGGTGAACAGTGCTCGGGCACATCTACAGAAAATAGCGCCTATGGCAAGCACTAAAATTGTGCTTCTGTCCAAACATCTGACACCTATTTTTTTGGGGGATAATTTTACCATAAAATCTGCTAAAAAACACAAATCAAGCTCATTAATAACAAAAAGGCACAATACCATGACTGGAACAATACACAAATAACCCGCATATAGGAGAGAGGAGCTTACGACGACGTTTCAGTCCGACTTTGTAAATGGTCCAAGTCGGGCCAAAATGTTGTTGTAAGCTCCTTTCTCCTATGTGTGGGTTATTTGTGCGAGCTCATTAATCTTTTAACCCTTTCAGGGTCGAGAAGCCCTCTCCTAAACTTGTTCTCAGGGTTGAAAATTTTTCAACAAAAATAAAAATTATTTTTTCTTATGAAATGATAGAGAATCTTTTCCCGATCATAATCATATCAAAAGTATGAAATTTGATGGAAAACTTACGAAATTATGCTCTCACGAAGTTAGTCTCGACGATGTTTATGCATCGGCAATTTCGCCCACTTTGAGCCCTATTTTTGGCCAATTCCAATGCACCAGTCGACAGAAATCATAGATATTTTGTTAGAACTCCATTTGTTCTATCAGATGAGTACAAGAAACAAGCCAATTACTGATTTCAGAAATTGGCAGTTTTGCCAATTTCACACAAATCTCAAAAGATGCCAATTTCGAAATAGGGCTTAGAATAAACAAGACAGACATTCTAGGCACTTAAATAACATTTTCTCTGTTCATTAGTCACATCCCCACTCCCCTTTACATTTCTTTTGCTTTCCACTTTGAACTTTTACTCTCACAAAAAATAGTAGATTTACTGTTATACAGACTATTGCATTAGTGTAAAAATGGTATAAATAATATCATTGCACGTGTGAAAAAATATTAGACTCACCAGTTGACATGTATTGGATGCGTGGCATGATTTGTTTACTTTTGAACATTGGCAGAAATCAAACATTTCTGCTACTTTGAGCTCTATTTCAAGGTACTTCTCATTGTGAAACCAATCAAAATCATCTCAATTTCTGTAACAAGTCTTCCATTCTATAAAATGACACCAAGAAAATGAGAATACAACCATAAATACCATACAAAAATACACTGCAAAGTCGCTGTTTTAAACAAAAAACACGGTCAGAGTTTTTTTTTCTCATTATGCACTGTATGCTGCAGGATTTTTTTTATACTGTGCACACTGACCATGCAGACCCATTCTTTCATATGTAGGCCTACCAGCTTTCTCTCGCTAGATTTGAAGGCGCTAGAATTTCCGCATACTAGTACGGCACCAACCCTGGCGTGCAATCCGCACTAGTATGACACCAACCCTGAAAGGGTTAATTAACAAATTATGGCACTACATGAAAATTACAACTGTACCTTCCTTGCTTTCATCGATGCAGATTGGTCTATGATGTGCTCAGATTCATTTTTGTCAGTTTATTCTCTTTGTATACTTAGCAGAGCAAGAGTACTGAGTCTGCCTTGACCCTTGGAGGTGTTCACCCCATGATAATCAAAGATCATACACCTGAATCTTTTTTTCCACTATCTGAGGACGGCTTGTCCGACTTTAATAGAAACTGCTCAGTGGTGGTCCCCTTCAAGTGGCACCCAGGGCATGTGCCAAACCTGCCATACCTTAAGTATGCCTCTGACTGTATTGATAGGATAATAGCAAAAGTTTTGCCTGTACTAATACAATGGACCCCCAGTTTTCAGCTGGTGCGGAAATTGTGCAATTCGGATTTTGAGCACTCTTTTGGGTGAAATTTACTCCTGGATTTCGTACATCGGCTTGGAAATTGATGGTACCAGACGCATCCAACTGGGTCGCTCATACGTTCCTGACTCACTCTTGGGCACAATAATTGTCTTATTTTACATTAATATAGACATTTTCGTTAAACCATCTATGATATTTTCTTCAAAATTATGTAAAAACACGTTACATAGCATTAAACATACAGTGTTATATGCAATGTATGTTTAATAATAATCACTCTTGGGCACATTAAATGTCTT